TATATTTTTTTTTTCATTGAATATAGATGGACATTGCTTCAACTCTGTTGGAAGGCGGAGCGAATGCTAATGCAGAATCTAAAGCAGGATTTACCCCATTACATTTAAGCTCGCAAAAGGGCCATTACGATATGACAAATTTGCTTATTGAACACGGGGCTGATCCAAATCACAAGGCTAAGGTAATTATTTTCTTTCTTTTTAAAATAAATTAATAAAAATAATAATAATAATAATAATATTATTAAAGTGAATCGAGAGAAAGTTTGTACACGTTTATGGTGTTGAAACTTTATAGCTTTAAACCTGCATAATGAATTGTTTCTTTTTTTTTCTTTTTTGTCAAATTTACTTTGGACATATGAATTTTGTAAAAAAAAAACCACGCACTAACATTTGCGTTTACCATATATAATATTTGATTAATAATTTGTTTCTTTTTTTTTTTCCTTCTCAGAATGGTTTAACAGCGTTGCACCTGTGCGCCCAAGAAGATTTCGTCAGAGTTGCATCGATACTCGTTAAAAATGATGCCAACGTTGAAAGTCAAACCGAAACTGGTTACAGACCGATCCACGTTGCCGCACATTTTGGAAATCTTTCTATGATAAGATTTTTGTTAAAACATAACGCCGAAATTGACGTTAGAACGGGACAAAATTATACGCCATTGCATCAGGCAGCACAACAGGGTCATGCTCATGTTGTTAGTGCATTATTAGAAGGAAATGCATCCCATAAAGCACGTACAAATGTGAGTTTAAATTATTATTAACAAATAAAATTATATATTTATATTTATTCATTTCTTTTTTATTTATTATTCTATTTATTTTATTCTTAAGAAAATAAACACGAGCCTGACACGTGTTAAGAAAAATTTAACAAATAATATTATATATATTTTTATATTTATTACATTTTTTTTCTATTTATTATTCTATTTATTTTACTGTTAACAAAATAATCACGAGCCTGACACGTGTTAAGAAAAATTAACAAATAAAATTATATATATTTTTATATTTATTACATTTTTTTTCTATTTATTATTCTATTTATTTTACTGTTAATAAAATAAACACGAGTCTGACACGTGTTAAGAAAAATTAACAAATAAAATTATATATTATATATATATTTATATATCTATTAATTTTTGTTCTATTTATTTTATTCTTAAGAAAATAAACACGAGCCTGACACGTGATAATTAAATCAAATCAAACGTAAATAACACGAATCAGACACACGTGGTTCAATAATTCTTAGATTATTATTTACAATTTATTAAAATAATTTTAATCATATCAATGTGTGTAAAAGAAACAAAATCTAATATCAATGATAGTCATTTTTGTTTCGTTTATTCTAATATGAAAGTAATGAAAAATTAGAAAATAGGACAAGGGGTTTAGTTAAAACATGTTAAATTGATATTTCTTTTAAATGATATTAATTTTTGGTTTTTTTGTTTAATTAGGATGGCTTGACAGCATTAAATATTGCTCAAAAGTTAGGATATATATCAGTTATGGAAGTATTGAAAGGTATGCCTTATGATAATTTAGCACCTGATAATAAAAATTGGGAAGAAAAATACAAAGTAATAGCACCGGAAAGTTTGCAAGAAACAAGTCTCATGTCGGATTCCGATGACGAGGGTGGTAAGAATATAATATTAATATAATAATAATAATAATTATTATTAAAATATTTATAATTTTTAATTACGTTTATTATAGCTTCTGATGCATTGATTAGTGAACAACCATACAAATATCTTACTGCGGATTTAATGAAAAGTTTACGAGATGATTCATTGCCAATCGATGTTACTAAGGATGATCCAATACATAGACAAAGTAAGTCTTGTTTATGTATATATATATATTATACTAATCAGAACGTGTGTGTTAATACGATCGATTTTCTATATATTTTTTATAGTTACGAAAGAAGAAAAACAAGAATTCGTTCAGAGTAATAATTATTGTTTGGCAGAAAACTTTGACAGTAATGATGCATTAAATTTAGGGTACGTAAAATATAAATATTAATATTAAATATTTCTAATGAAAATTATATATA